TAACTGCACTTGTGTACTGCACGACGTATCCATGAAACAAGCCTACAATCTTCAGAACAGGAGACTGGCATTGGTGGTCCTAGATCTCCACATGCTGCATTCTTGATTAGTTTACAAGCTACACCTTTCTGGGCTATGATAAAAGGCTGCCACGAGTCTTCTCTTGTTGTCTTTCTCTACAGCATGTTCCATAAGTTTTCGTACACAGCAACCAAATTTTAATTGTTTATGCAACCCATTTTTATTTATTTAACATGCTCTGCCTGACTACCACTGTTTTGAAAACACATTTCATTATTTCACTGCTGAAGAACACGTGTTAGCAGAGCTAGAAATATGCTTGTAACAGTGTTAGTGATATGTTTTCTTGTCCTATTTATGGAAGATTATGGGACACCACATATTTCTCTTTCCAGTTGTAACATGTCTAAAGTTTTTCTCTTCTCTTAATGTTGCCAAAAAATACCACAACCTCATTTTAATGTTCATGATTAGCTGAACCTCTTTCAAAACATCCAGATTACTTATTATGCTAACAACATTTATGTTGGTAAACTGCTGCTATTTTCTTTTTTGGGTCCATGGTTAAATTATTATTGCTTTTCCTAATCACTGACATTTAACACTGCCAAACTTGTTTCAGTTTCTAAACAAAAACACAACAGCAAGCAAAAATATAGCATACAAGACTACACAGTATAATACGCTAGCGTCTAACACTACCGAATCATGTGTTACATTATACAACACAAGAATATCCAACTCTTTAGTAAATTCTGTTGCATATGCAGAATACAACAAATTTTGTGACTTTTAATTCAACAATGTATACAAAAAAATATCTATGAACATCGTAGCACTGGCTTGTCTCTCAAATCTCTCTGTACATTTCTTTTCTAAACTATAAACACTACTTACCTAAATTCCATACATTTCTATATTCTCATCTTAACTCTCTACTTTCTTATCTAAATCATTACCTTCCTCATCTAAATCCATCTGTTTCTCATCAAAATCTCTAATTTCTTCCTGTAATCTAATCTCTTTACTTTCTCATCTGAACTCTTAATTAAACTGTACACTTTCTCATATAAACTCTATACTTTTGCATCTAATTTCCTTTCCCAACTAGTCTCTAATTTCTCATCTAAACTCTCTCTCTCATTTAAACTTTCTACCTTTTCACTCTATACTTTCTCATCTTAACATTTCTCATCTAACCTCTCCCTGTTCTGATCTAAACTCTTCCATCTACTCTCTGCTGTCTCATCTAAACTCGGTACTTTCTACAACTTATTTAAGTTTTTCAGAATCGACTGGCAACCATGGTTACTCTTATAATACAGAAATCTAGCAACCAACGTAATAATTTCTACCAAGTTACAGGCCATTGAATAAACAGAAGACTATATAATTGGATGTATATGTTACAAATAAAATTTATTTAATATTTACCAAATTTTAAAAAGTACATAAAGTATGAAAACTATCACAAGCCAAACTTTCTTATTCACAGCAGCGATCAGGAAAATATGAATTACATGTCCAAACTACACGGTTTAACATCTTGACAACACATTTCTACTGGCATCTGGCAAAAAAGTTTTATGTATTCAATACTGTCAAGTTCATTAACAGCTGGAAAGATCACAACATGTGATATGAGATGTGGAATTCTGTGCTCTTTCTGTACCAAACAATATGCTATGTGTAATCAACTACTGTTTGGTCTAAGTATGCACAGAAACCTGGTAGGACATTTTAACCGTTTCAGTACTAGCCAGTAACTATTTTAAGTTGAAATATCTTTTTAGTCTAAGGCAGGTTATGTTTGAAGAGGCCAACATAATACAACTATTAGTAATTCAGAACAAATGCTCCTCTTTTTATGTAAATTGTGCTTAACCAACATTTGAAAAAAAAAAAACATAAAACAAACTGGCACTTAATAAATGATACTGTCAGCATCATACTGGCCATATTCACATGCCTGGACACTTTTTGGTAGCCACTTTAGGCTGTGTCAACCTGGCAGCCAAGGTCATTTGATAACAAATGTGCCACACATAGATTCAAACCCAAGGCTTTCGTTTGACGGGCAAGCATCCAGTCAATGCAATACTGTGACTCAAAAATCTATGACCTCCACAATATTGACTAAAAAGAATGGCCCCAGAGAGACCACTGACAAGATTTCAAGACAGCTGGAAGAAATACTAACAATATTATATGTCCACTTGTGCCATGTTCTTCAACCTGTGGGGCACAGACCAGTGCCATTTCTCATGCATTTTCTAGCCAAAAACGTCCACCCAATCACGTAGCGGCCACAGCAGAAAAGAAATGAAGAAATTGTGTGGATGTTATTGCAGTACTTAATCTCTCATGAACAACACTCCAGTCATGTATCTCAGATGTTCTAATCACTTAGCAACAGAAGTTGACTTATAAAGAAATTGTAATGTTACAACACAATATTTTTAAATTTAACGGCTATCTATATTTGTATATATTTCTGTATTAGACATCAGCCTGTTCAATAAACATTTGTAAATTTTTTCTGCTGTGCAGGTGTCAAGAGGTTGAAGAACGCTCCACTAGTGGACACAGACAAGTACAGATAGGAAGCAGATTCAAACAGTTCCCAGAAATTCCAACTGCTTTTCGAATTTTTGATTGTCTTACAAATTTCACTTGTTAAAGATGACAGTGATCTTCAATCAACACTATACCTATCTATTTTGTTCACCTCATTGTTTAACTCTCTTATTCCTTTTTTTTTTTTTTAAGCCTGCCTTGATTCCTTTTACACTGTGGGTTTCCTGTTCACGATCACTCTAGTTATTCTCTATCAGGTTTGTAATGTAAATTATTGTAATGCTATATAAGGGGGTTTCAAATGTAACCCTTAAAACTGTGATAGAAATTACAATAACCATGTCAAGAGTGTTAAGCATGTGTTACTGGAGTAACACTGTCACCGGAGATAAAACCTGGGTTCACTACCACTGGAGCTAGTTTCACCCCTTCACCATAACAAAATTTTGATAACAGAATTCTGCTAAACTTAGGAGCATGTCAAAAGTGGGGCGGCCTACTTTAAACTGTCATTTGACATCACCATGTTCACCTGCACAGTGATGTCATGTGCTCAACACCCTTGACATCCTTAAGAACAACACTGACAGGTTACATGACAACAGCATGGTTACTGTAATTTCTATTACACTTTTAAGGTTCTCATTCCAAGCCATCTCATTTATAAAAACATAAACTGGAAACTGTTTGAAGCCATCTCAAAACTGTCACTTTTTAATAACAAAACTCATGAGAAAACGTACTGCACATTATGAATCTGAACCCCCCCCCCCCCCCCCCCCCCCCCCCCACCTCCCCCCCCCCCCCCCCCCCCCCCCCCCCCCCCCCCCCCCCGCCCCCCCCACACACCCCCCCCCCCCCCCCCGCCCCCACCCCCCCCCCCCCCCCCCCCCCCCCCCCCACCCCCCCCCCTCCCCCCCCTCCCCCCCCCCCCCCCCCCCCCCCCCCCCCCCCCCCCCCCCCAAAGGTCCAAACAAGATTGCACAGTTTAATGCCTGGTACATTTTGCTGTTTCTTGTCAGATGTGATGTACCTCAGACGACGCAGAACTAAAAAAACAAAATGTGCTGTCTATACTTCTTCTTCGCCTTAGTGGCTGTAACTGGCTGTAAATTCTAGCTGAAAGTTCTGGTTGTTCACCCACATATGGACTTTAGAGTCTTGATCCAGAACTAGAACTGTGCATGCATATCCATTTTACAGAGCTGGCATTTTGTATGCAGACTGTTGGTTCCTTGCCTCTTAAGCAGATGCACTCTGACTTTTAAGTAAACACCTCTTAGTCACCTCCTAGGACATGCTTGTTTAGGCGGCAGTGGGGTCTATTTATTCTCTAAATGGACCCCTAGAATACACAAGGGGAGCTGTCTAAACACTGCAGACTGGTTTCTTCTTCTATCCTTTCTCTAGTTACCTCACTGTAGTGTTGAGGGAGATTGTGTAACTTTTTTACTGCACTGTATGTGATTTTCATTTCTTTAAGACTGTTGATGCTGCCATTCCATGTTTTGCATGGTCTTCCACTTGCTCTGTGTTCACTATAATTTCTTTTTCTCTGTGGCAGTTGGTACAGAGAAATTCTCGTCAGATGGCCAATCTATCTCAATTGTTGCATTTAATGAAATGTATAACCGCCCCAGTGTGTGTGTGTTAAAGACAAAAACAGACCCATATAGCTCCTTAACAAGAATGTTGTAAAACTCATTAGGGTTCTTTCCTTCAAAGTTAGAGGCAAGAAACCAACAGTCTGCACACAAATAAGACAGATGAGTAAAATGGAGATGCACAATAAAAATAAACAAGGCAATAAATTCTGTTATCTCCTGTTTGCGTCTTCTATGTGAACATTTACAAAGGGGAAAACTATTGCTTCGATATCTGAATCTTGTATAATGTATGTTCCGGTGACTTGTCTTTTCCTCTTCACTGCTGCAAACATCTTCCCATCCAGCGTGACTTTTCATGAAGCCACACAGGGTGACAACTATACCACAAAGTGGCAGCCAGGTGAACAATCATAAATTGTTGGCACCCAGGCGTACATTTTGGCAATTTTTACCCAAGTGCATTTTCCGGCCTGTTATTTGTCACTTTACAATATACCAAACGAACATATAAATTTCTTTCCCAGTTACCTTAAAATAGGGCAATATGTTTCACGCAAAAACACAATTTTTATTTGCCAGTAAATATTCAAACGCATTTTCTTGAAACTAGAATTTAGCACTTGGGTGACTTTGGCAGAGTCCCAACAAATTATGTGTCCCATATGTAACATTCTGGCAACCACATAGGTTCATGTATAGGGTAAACAGGCCCTTAAATATCTGGCCTAGCCACAGCATAAATAAGGCAGGGTGTCCTCATTAAATGTACAACGTCTGTACGGTTCACTGCATGTCTCACAAATCTTCATCCCCAATCTCCTCAAATGCTCCATTTTCGGTAAGTGCTTCATCTGTTTTTTGCAAACCCCTGCCCTGTTGAAACACACAAAAAAATAAAAAAAATAGTTTATTTGAATATTTGCTAAAGCAGTAGTTACAAATTACCGGTTCTTTCGTAATATCCTACCCCAGATGACGTCACATGACAGTTCAACATTTTAGAGGGTGGTAAGACTAGGTTTTCCAGTTTTCTGATGCTTTAAACAACCCCAAAACATCTAGAACTGGCCCTAACCCAACCCACCTACGTCCCATGAGACAGCGTAGCCTAGGTCCCATGACTGCATGCCGCCTATCTATCACCCCCTGAAATATTAGACTTTCACGTGACCTGTGGATTTCTCGTTTTGGGTAGGATATTAAGAAAGCACCCAACTACCTAAGACCTATAGACCACTGTTATTTCTGGTCTGCCACTGACACAAAACTTGTTAAAGAGTCATATTACCACTTAGCAGACCGGTATGGGCAGGCAGGTCATCAATCTATGCCTCAGGACAGGGCATAACAAAATTTAACAAGCACAAGCTTCATCTAAGTAGTTTACAATTGTGCCCATGTAGGATGTGTGTGCAGACTGCAGAACTTGTCCTTCAAGTCTGCACAATCAATTAAGAAGGGAATACGGGCCAAATGAGTCAACGCCATACTCATAGCTGTATGGAGCTAAAAGGGACCCCCCCCATTAACCTCCATAAAATTTAATCAAAGAACTTGTCTGTAAGTGTAAATCAAAGAGTCATCATCATCATCATCATCATCATCATCATCATCATCATCATCATCAGAAGAAGAAGAAGAAGAAGAAGAAGAAGAAGAGTAATTATACTAAAGAAAGTATTTATAATTCATCAGAATTTCCAGTGTGGGTTTCAAGAAAAAAGAATTGACCACTGCCTCGCTAACAAGCAGGTCATAAACCTGACCTGCGTAAACCATTGTCTTCGCATACAATAATTAGCATAGGGCCCCTATGTTTGTGGAGCCGCTGGGCAAGTGCTTAGTGGGGGCCCATGTGGTGTTGAGATGGCCAGGGGACACATAATTGTTTCTTTGTAGTTGTTTGTTGAAAAAGATATACAATTATGAACTGTCTTCACTGCATGTATTTTACCACTTTTTAGCTCATCTGGGCGGTGAGCTACTTTATGATAAAGCGCACGTGATGAAGACTCTGTGGGATCAAATAGACAGTGCAATAGAACAGATAAGGAATCCATATACAGAAAGACTAATTCAACGGAAAGGGGTGGGGGGGGGGGGGGGGCGGTGAGTATAGGTTCTAGAATATGTTCAGCTTAAAGGGGGCAACAGAGGTGAAATTTTAATCAGGTTGTAACTGGTACTACTAGCATGTTAGCTCTTTATTAGCTACTGAACAGGGGGATGGGCCACGTGTGAGAATGTCCTGAGCACAGTGATGTCAATTCTTGATTCACTCATTCATAATGCAGTCTAGGATGCGAAGAAAATTTAGGATTTGAGACTGCTTGGCTAGTGCAGTCACCGTGAACCGTACTGGTTAGAAAAAAAAAACCTTCCGTCACCTCATCAAGGATTCAAACCCGGGTCTTCTGCATGAGAGCCAAGCATTCACATTTTATAGACCTATCAGTACACGACTGGTGATGTGGTGAACATCACACTGGCTCCCCTTTACTTCACCTGGAACTTATTGTAAGCAGTGTGGACCTCGGAGCCAAAGTCGTTTTAAAGAAATTTCTGACTAGATACGGGATCAAACCTAAGATCTTCAAGGGAGCAGGTGAGGGTCTAGCCACTGAGTTGCTGCATCACCAAAAAAATGGAAAGAATTATAGATAAAAATAAAGAAAAAGCCAGGAAGAGACATAATTTCATAAAGGCTAGAAAAATATCAGGACAAAAATGATATATTTAAAAAAGCAATATCACAAGATGTACGTACAGACACCATTTGGCAAATTACTTGATGATGATAAAGATTACTTACAAATTTTTTCACTGAATCCTTGGCTCTGCTAACTGCACTTTGTTCATCAGGCTGAAATAAAAGGAATACAAAAATAATCACAGCTGTTTGAAATAAGCAGAATTTTTTTTTTTTTAATTTCACCATTTAAGATCATATATGTTGTATCTCCTGTGTGCATTAAAAAGCTCTGTTGGAGAGATGGAAAAAGGTGGGGAAGGGTGGAATGGAATTACATTTTCCATATTTCCCTACAACAAAGTGTCGTAAAATGCAAAAATCTTGTGTTTAAAAACATATATTTTTGCAATTTTTGTCAAACATCTCATCGATGACAAATATGGGGTCCACCCCCACCCTTTTTACACACGATAAAGACATGGGTTTTTTTCTCATGCATGCTTTCTGATTCCATGAACATGCTTAAGAAGATCAAGACTGGACATGTTCCTCTTCTTCTGCCTTCATCTGAAGTTGTGATTGTGTTGTGCCCGTTTACAGCATGGCTGCGATATTAACAGCTTTCGGCCAACACATCTGACTTCTGCGGGCATTCGTTGACCAGGTTAGCCTTCCCAGTGGATGGGTTCAAAAACAGTGATCAGAGTCTCTGAGGAAATCTTGCCTGCCAGGAATCAGCTTCAATTTTGTGCCAGGACACTTTGGGGCAAGAGGGAAGAAATGAGCGGCTGGGCTTGCTGACAGGGTGTAAGGTAGGCACTGGAAAAGCAATGGACCAGGCTGATGTTCTCAAGGGAAAAGCAATGGACCAGGCTGATGTTCTCAAGGGAAAAGCAATGGACCAGGCTGATGTTCTCAAGGGAAAAGCAATGGACCAGGCTGATGTTCTCAAGGGAAAAGCAATGGACCAGGCTGATGTTCTCAAGGGAAAAGCAATGGACCAGGCTGATGTTCTCAAGGGAAAAGCAATGGACCAGGCTGATGTTCTCAAGGGAAAAAGCAATGGACCAGGCTGATGTTCTCAAGGGAACAAGACTTAAGTCCAGAAGTGGACAAACATACAACCGGTGCTTTCCACCAGAGTTTACAACTGGCGAACACTAAGAAAAAGAAGACATGAAAGGAGAAATTAACACACAAAAAAACACATAAAAAGTACAACAGGATAATGATAAATGTAGTTATAAATCAGCCCATCTGTAAACGTGAACCAACAAACTCAATACTTGATTCATCTTTTGATATTTAATTGCTTACTATCTAACTTTAAATCTAAATGTCTTATATAGACTGGCATGTATATAAAGTTCTCTACACATTTTACTATCTCTGAATCTAATAGTCAATAATACACTTGAAAGTCTATACATTTCTTCTTCTTCTTTTTAAAATCCATGTCGTGTGGCGTTGGTAGTCATGTCTATCCACAACCTTCTTTTGAATCAACCCTCACACAGATGATCCTTCATGCCATGATGTCAAACTGTCCAGCATCTGTTCTCTCAGTCTCCGTCTGCCTCTCCTCCTCTCCAACTTTCCTACTGTCACGATGTACTCCAGTTTTGTCCTCCTCATCACACGACTAAAGAATGTAGAATGTCTCTTTCTGATGTGGGCAATCAGTTCTCTTTATCAGCCAGTTTCTTTCAGGACATCTTCATTATTTGTTTTATCTGTCCAGGGTATTCTCACCATTCATCTATAAAACCACTTCTCCACATCTTCCATAAATTTATCTGCATATAATCTTAAAGGTCAATTCCAAGAAGATCGAACAATTAGTAAACAAATCTGTTAGGTTAAAATATGAATAGAAGAAGTTTAAAGATAAAAATATGAATAGAAGAAGTGTAAAGAGTAAAATATGAATAAAAGAAATGTAAACAGTAAAATATGAATGAAAGAAGTTTCAATAGTAAAAAAGGAATTAAATAAGTGTAAACAGCAAAATATGATTAAAACAAGTGTGAAAACAATCTAAAATATAAATAAAAGAAGTGTAAAAATGATCTAAAATATGAATAAAAGAAACGTGAACAGTAAAATATGAATAAAAGAAGTGTGAACAATAAAAAAAATGAATAAAAGAAGTGTGAACAGTAAAATATGAATTAAAGAAGTGTGAGCAATAAATTATGAATAAAATAAAATAAAGCAAGTGCAAACAGTGAAATGAATACAAGAAGTGTAAACATAACCAATTAAATTGAACAAATATGTGGCTAAAGATGTTTTAAACTATTAAAGGTGCATACTTTTAAAATTCGAAATAAGCTAAAGAAATTCTATCACATATAAGCACTTCAAATTTCCACTGGCGACAAACTATTCTGAGTCTAGGAAACTCACTCAATATGAGTAAGATGCTCCATGTAGTTTTATTAATTCCTGCCAGCATTGTGTTCAAATATGCACCTGGGCAGATTTTTGTAAATGAGCTGGCCAACCCAGGCTAAAAGGGATATCAGGAAATGAGCTGGGAAGGTGATAAGAATGATACTGACCACATCACTCATCCAGTGCCGACTGTTTTATAAAAACATAAATTTAGCACCATGAGCCTGATGTGCGAAGGCCAGAGAAAGGGGTACTCCTCAACCTTGTGGCACTGAGAAGACTAGTCGCTCCCGGTTGTGAGACAGTCCCATTAAAGCTGATATATCAGCCTGTCTGCAGTGATCTGTTCTCTACATTCCACTGCCTCAATCTTTGCCTGCGCAGTGTTGAATGTTAATGTCAGTTTCAGCTTCATAGCAAACAAGTCACCCCATAGTTGCTCCGCTCCTGTGCCAACCAAAACACACAGAATATTCATCACAGTCCCTTGTGCAACGATTGACAAACTGCTGTCTCAGCATATGCACTAGCATACACACGCATTAAAAGTATACGGTAGCCATCAAAAGTGCTAACACAAACAGTCTGACTTTAGAAATGGAGTTTATTATCGACGGCAGCAAAGGTAACCAACAAATCAGCAGTTGCACACGTGATAAATTTTAATCACATAAGGGCACCACCAGTATTGCGACGACAGGCCATGCGCCATTTTCTGAATCAACAATTCACAACACCACGTTGGTCACAGTAAAAAAACATTCCAAATGAAATCCGCAGCTCACAGAGTCACACCATGCACTCAACTCAGTAGCTGGGCGACAAAACTATATCCTTTCAGTCTACAAATGGAGCAAAAATGCAACGGCCACCGTCTGGCAGAAGCAAAAGCTTTACCATGACTCAAAACAGTGACCATGCCTAGCGTCCATTTTGACCGGACGTGTTGAATACAACAGGCTATGAATAAGTAACTAAAAACAGCATTCTGGGGCTCAATGACCCCAAAGGCTTTTTAAAAGTTTCTGCCAAATTTTATGGTAAGCCTTAGCACAGAGAGAATTAAGGAACAAATCTCTTAAACAAAAAGAGCTAAATATAAATTAAGGCAGAATATGGCTAAAAATAGCATATGTACACAAGCCTAGGACAGAATTGTGCAAACATGTAAGCTTCAACTTATTTATGGAACAATTTGTGCAAAAGTGCACTCTTCAACTTATTTGTGAGACAATTTATGCAAAAGAGCACTCGGCAACTTTATAATGGGGAACAATTTATACAAAAGTGCATTCTACAGCTGACATGTGGATCAATTTATACAAAAGTGCATTCTACAGCTGACATGTGGAACAATTTATACAAAAATGCATTCTACAGCTTACATGTGGAACAATTTATACAAAAATGCATTCTACAGCTTACATGTGGAACAATTTATACAAAAGTGCATTCTACAGCTTACATTGGAACAATTTATACAAAAGTGCAATCTACAGCTTACATGTTGAACAATTTATACAAAAATGCATTCTACAGCTTACATGTTGAACAATTTATACAAAAATGCATTCTACAGCTTACATGTTGAACAATTTATACAAAAGTGCATTCTACAGCTTACATTGGAACAATTTATACAAAAGTGCAATCTACAGCTACAGCTTACATGTGGAACAATTTATACAAAAAATGCATTCTACAGCTTACATGTTGAACATTTATACAAAAGTGCATTCTACAGCTTACATTGGGAACAATTTATACAAAAGTGCAATCTACAGCTTACATGTGGCAACAGCTTTAACAATACAAAAATGCAAAGCTTACATGTTGCAATCTTCTACAGCTTTGGACAATGTGGACATGTTGAACAATTTATACAAAAATGCATTCTACAGCTTACTGTTGAACAATTTATACAAAAAATGCATTCTACATTACATGTTAAACAATTTATACAAAAGTGCATTCTATTACATTGGAACTTTATACAAAAGTGCAATCTACAGCTTACATGTTGAACAATTTATACAAAAATGCATTCTACAGCTTACATGTTGAACAATTTATACAAAAGTGCATTCTACAGCTTACATTGGAACAATTTATACAAAAGTGCAATCTACAGCTTACATGTTGAACAATTTATACAAAAATGCATTCTACAGCTTACATGTGGAACAATTTATACAAAAATTATTATAACAAAAGTGCATTCTACAGCTTACATTGGAACAATTTATACAAAAATGTATTCTACAGCTTACATTGGAACAATTTATACAAAAATGTATTCTACAGCTTACATGTGGAACAATTTATACAAAAATGTATTCTACAGCTTACATGTGGAACAATTTATAAAAAAGTGCATTCTACAGCTTACATTTGAACAATTTATACAAAAATGTATTCTACAGCTTACATTGGAACAATTTATACAAAAATGTATTCTACAGCTTACATGTGAAACAATTTATACAAAAGTGTACTTTACAGCTCATTTGTCCAATAAGCTTACTGCAGTTAATTTGTGGAACAATCATACATAACAAAATCTATAATACCAACAACCTATTCTCATTTATTAATAAACTATTTGAACCCTAACTTTGTGTCTCTTTAGAATAATTGCAAAACATTAATGCAGTGTAATGTATAGGGTGAATTATGCTGTAACCCCATGACCTCAACCAACGAGGCTTACTGTAAAATATGGGATCATAATGGAACCCCCTAAATCAGTGGTTCTCAACCTTCCTAATTCTGTGACCCTTTAATACAGTTTCTCCTGCTGTGGTGGAACTCAAAGATAAAATTATTTTCGTTGCTACTTCACAACTTCAGTGAATATGTGTTTTCCGATGGTTTTAGGCACCCCTTTAAAAAGGTCATTCGACCCCCAAAGGCGCTGCGACCCACAGGTTGAAAACTGCTGCCATAAATGATATTTCTGGTTGCTAAATTCATAGCCTGGTCTATTAAACACTGCGCAGATACACTGCATTCAAGAAAACTAATATATCTTCTATTAAAGTATATGCTTTCTACCTCTCTTGTTTTTAATGTGTGTTGTGTCTCTATGGCTAAGTCATTTGTTCTGTGTTCTAAAAGCTATAGGTTTGTTTCAGACTGTGCCATTTGGTTCCTGAATGTAATTTTTTAAAGACTCTATAGATCATTGTAGGTGCTATGGAGTTTGTGCTTTGTGTGGTATTCTTGGCAGGTGGCTAGCCAACAAAACAGAGAAATACTCAAGCAAATGTAAGCAGTTTACAAGGCTCTAGCAGCATACCAACAGCCAAGAATGTAAGTGATGCTAGTGGCAAACAATTAAATGCTGACATATTCTGTGGGTTCCTGGGATCCATTTTTATAGACCCACTGTTCCTCCTTAATAAGTATGTTATTAATGACAATAAGTTAGGGGCTTACTGAAATTAAATGTTTTAAGTCAAAAGGCAGATATTGCAGCCAAGCCGTAAACCACAACATCCCAACCGCTATTTCAAGGGCAAATGCACAAGAAGAAGAAGAAGAAGAAGAAGAAGAAGAAGAAGAAGAAGAAAAATAATAATAAGAAGAAGATATAACTAATTTTTATTAGCTGTGTATTCTTTATAGGACATTGCAGAATCAACCCGATACATTTTTTTTGTAGTCTGTGGTTTTACAGGCAGATTTTATGTTTCACAGTTTGTGATTGAATCTGAATGGTCAGCTCTTGATACCATTGTCAAAAGGTGGTCTGCGAAAAAAAACCTACAGCAAAGGCAACTGCCTCTGGTTCAAGTAAAGCAGATTCAAACTCTTGTGTTGACAACTGAGATTTTTGTTTGTCATTTGACAACCTGAACAGCATAACATAAGTATTTCCATTTCCGTGATACACAGCCTGTTGTTTACACCAGTGGTCTCCAACTACTTTCTTGAGTTATACCGCAAACCCCCCCCCCCCCCGCCCCCCCCCCACCCACAACAAAACATGAAATAAATAGTCTGGAAATGTGATTTGGTCAGAACATGTTCCTAATCTATAATCAAATGAAAACCTTATTATATTAATTCGATTTTTAACGACAGATGTACAAAATGCTCATGCAAACAAAAACATCCTCAAGTTTTAGTTTTAGATATAAATAGCTTTAAAAATATTTTTTTAATAATTAAACTGAATTTATTCATTTTAAAATTTAAACAGATTATAAGAAGTATAAATGAACTCAATTTCCAAACTGTTTGACAGCCCCCATGAAATGTCTTCGTGCCCCTTAGGTTGGAGACCACTGGTTTACACTGATAAAACAAAGTAAATCTGGTGCAATGACAATATAGCAGCTCTTACAACCTGGCAACAAATAACATAAGAAAGAAATGCATCGTCTTCTGCAATCAAGTTAAAAAGAATTAATGTTACTGAATATGAAAAAAGCTAGTGCTGTACAACTACAAAACTTTACCATGGGCTGAGCGCTACCGCTGTAATATCCTCTTGATGAATTCTTCTATTTCAAATAAAGTTATTAACAAGAAAAATTACTAAATAAAACAAACAAAACAGACAGTCTTTTTGCCAGTGGTTCAACATAACATGAGAAAATTAAAACACAAAGTGGGTGCCAGAAAAAGAAACAATTGCCCAGCTGATATTTGGGTATCAAGAAGCAACTACAGGCAACACACACCACTGCAACTTGCGGTGTGCAGGTCGAACACAAGATTTTTTACTCAAAATTCTGAATTCCGGCTGGGTGGACTTGAGGAAAACAAAATCTGGACTTCATGCAGACTGGAACACATGACCTTTGGGCCAGCAGGGGAGAGATTAGCTACAGCAGCTCCTGCTGTTCTGTGAAAAGTTATTGGGGCAGGCGTAACGGGTTGGTATAACCTGCAGTTTTATTACCTATGTGATTGCTTTAATTTATTTTTGTGCTACAAGATTCTTGTGTAAGTCAATGACAAAGACTTTAAAATATGCGGCTGCATCTGTGTGCAGAACACCCTAGACAGTCAAAACAGAGCAAACCAGTTTTGAAAGAGGTGAGGAATCAAAGACAACTAATCACAATCAGAAAGAGACAGTCATAATTTTTTTTGGTCCTATTATGAGAAGGAAACTGGAACATTTTGAGACAAATAGAAGGATCTGTGGAAACAGAGACTGAGGAAGACAACATAAGAATATTTTTGACAGTCTTTTGTCATGACATGGAGAAGTGTCAACTTATGAAAGGATACATGCTCTTGAAGTTCGCAGATTGTGGAGAGGCATCATTGCCCCTGCCAGCCAGCAAGGCACATGATAATGATGATGATGATGATCTATGTGTGTCTTTTACTTGAGTTGAAAACCAACATCATTGAGGACATTCCCATAAGTGCTCTGATCTCATCTACAACAGCCAGAGCAGAGTTCCAACTCCAATGATATCAGTAGCAGTCGGATTATATGTCTGTCTTATCTTTCCTCTGAGTGTTGTCTCGGCCAGATTTCCTGGTCACTTCCTGTTGCACCATTCTCTTCAAACAGTGATGACCTATTTGTGCTTCTCTCACTCCCAAAGGGCACTGACTTCATCTAGCTTGTCATGATCAATTTACTACCACCAAAGTGGTGCTGAACCAGCTAATATGTCTGCCTCTTCATATCCCAACACAACTGCATACTTCAGAGGACAGACCTAAAGGGGGCTAACTACAGAGGATCTCAGAAGCAATGCTTGTCACTCTGAATGCATTATACCTATTTTCATTTCATTCTTTAAGATTCTTATTTTTCTTTTTTTCCATGCAGTTTTAGTTTTCAGTATCAGCTTAACTGCCTACAGTACTTTTCTATTCCGTGGTGTGGTAATTTCGGTCACAGGTGGGAGGGAAAGTTAAGGCCGCTGTGATATGTATAAGCAGATACTCTGTACCTTCACAATATTATTATTATTATTATTACTATCGGCTAAAACAATATGTGCATAAATAATGTATGCATGGCGTGAGGCCAGAAGGGCAGAATGTAAGACGGGCTTTTGTGCCCAATTCTTAACCCTTTGAAAATAAAGTTTGTTTGTTCGTTCGTTCACCTCGGGCACCAGCAGGCTCGGTGACGGTTTTATGGATCCTCATGCAAGACTTCTGCCACCAATCCACAATGGATAAACACTCCATTGTGACCTGAGTTGAGCCAGCAGGGATCTCAGAGTTGGTGGCCTCTAGAGATGTAGTATCCGGTCTGGCTCTCATCAGTACACCCATCATACATGGGTGAAAACAACTATCAAAACTCATTTGGAACATGGATAGAGCCCGCTTGTCAAAAATTCTACCAAATGACATTTTTTAGTTAAAAAGAGTATGTTGAGTGAAAGAACAACTGAACTGCTGAGACTCAGCCTTGGAGTAAAAAGTTTGTTCGCAGCTAGGATAAGCAACATATTTTGGGTGTGGTATCTCCCTGTACAGTTCCTTCTTCAAACATCCATTGTTGACCTTCAGCATCGTCATCAACCCGTTGGGGTTCATGACTGTCGACCATTTTAGCCAGCTCTTTAGGCTGAAATATCCATCAGATTCATATCCTTTGGCATAACAGCAAAGTCCTACATGTCCGACCACCACACAGTACTACTGTTTGGCAGAAAGGTTTAGATGTCCATTAGCGGTGGCCCCAATCACCAGAATGACGGGGATCAAATAGGGAAAGCCACTCCCGACTCATGCTTTTCCATACTGTTATGCAAAGTGTCCAGATGACACAACGTTAAAGGTATCTAACCGGGTTGAAGAGAAATGTGCCCATTTGTGTGGTCATCAAAGATTTGCAGTCTGTTCCCTGCTTATCTACACAGGGTGCAGCCCGTGATAACTGGAAAGCCCAACATAAGGATGTGAGGTTAAGCAGTCGTGTGCAGGACCTAACGATTCCTTAGGTGAGCCCAGAACCAGAGCATCATGTGTCAACTCTGCATTTATGAAAGTCTCCTTGGATGGCGGGGAACGCTCATAATTTGCCCCTGCTTTCCCTTGACAGCCGACCAGTCTACAAGCATATGCACTAGATAGGGTTTCCAGGGGCAACACTTGTTGATAAGGGGACAAGAAGAAGACCACACCAATAAAGCCGCATTGTGTCCTACAAAACTCTCTGGGAAGTTAACCCAGTCAACAAATGCTTGATGAAGTCAGATGGTCAGATCTGCCAGCCGACTGGTGCAAATATCGCGGCTTTGCTGTAAATAGGCACAACACATTGACATCACTCGGAAGAATGAAAAGAAGATTTTCTATTCCTAGAATTAATGTTATCATTGAAAGGTTACCTCTTTGATGATACAGATGGCAGCCAACGGGCCATGACAATTAATCTAATAACCACTGGACAAGGAAATTTTTAGAGATGAATTCTAGTATTTGTTAGATTAATGTCAATCTGTATAAAAAAAAAGGGGGCATGCTTTAAATAAACACCAGGTAACATAACAGTCTTTTATTAATTTACTTGTTTTAAAAACAAGTCCTATTATTTCATTGGTAATATTTTATCAATGAAGCAACCTGATATTTCCTTACACCAGAATTGTGAGCTTTAAAATACATTTTTTTTTTTAATTTAGCAGTTAATACATATTACAACACCAAAGTGACAATTACCACAAATAAAAGGGAAACACACAGAAAAGATAGGATGTTAATTGTATGCACTATTTTTGGGGGGAAAGCAAATGACATTCTGTAATCTAAAAAAAACAGCAAACACTCACATCAACACCATATGACAGCTCCCTGGACATTGGCTTGAAGGGTCCTGTGTTTCTGTTTAACTTCAGTCTGTCTTGAGGCTGTAGGATAAAGAGGTGTCTGGAGGTTATAAGATGAAGAGAAAGTGTCTTGAGGCTGTAGGATAAAGAGGTGTCTGGAGGTTATAAGATGAAGAGAAAGTGTCTTGAGGCTGTAGGATAAAGAGACAAATAGTGTCTTGAGGCTGAAAGATAAAGAGACAAATAGTGTCTTGAGGCTGAAAGATAAAGAGACAAATAGTGTCTTGAGGCTGTAGGATAAAGAGACAAATAGTGTCTTGAGGCTGAAAGATAAAGAGACAAATAGTGTCTTGAGGCTGAAAGATAAAGAGACAAATAGTGTCTTGAGGATGAAAGATTAAGAGACAAATAGTGTCTTGAGGCTGTAGGATAAAGGGACAAATAGTGTCTAGAGGCTGAAAGATAAAGGGACAAATAGTGTCTTGAGGCTGAAAGATAAAGAGACAAACAGTGTCTTGAGGCTGAAAGATAAAGAGACAAATAGTGTCTTGAGGCTGAAAGATAAAGAGACAAATAGTGTCTTGAGGCTGAAAGATAAAGAGACAAATAGTGTCTTGAGGCTGTAGGATAAAGAGACAAATAGTGTCTTGAGGCTGAAAGATAAAGAGACAAATAGTGTCTTGAGGCTGAAAGATAAAGAGACAAATAGTGTCTTGAGGCTGAAAGATAAAGAGACAAATAGTGTCTTGAGGCTGAAAGATAAAGAGACAAATAGTGTCTTGAGGATGAAAGATTAAGAGACAAATAGTGTCTTGAGGCTGTAGGATAAAGGGACAAATAGTGTCTTGAGGCTGAAAGATAAAGGGACAAATAGTGTCTTGAGGCTGAAAGATAAAGAGACAAATAGTGTCTTGAGGCTGAAAGATAAAGAGACAAATAGTGTCTTGAGGCTGAAAGATAAAGAGACAAATAGTGTCTAGAGGCTGAAAGATAAAGAGACAAATAGTGTCTTGAGGCTGTAGGATAAAGAGACAAATAGTGTCTTGAGGCTGAAAGATAAAGAGACAAATAGTGTCTTGAGGCTGTAGGATAAAGAGACAAATAGTGTCTTGAGGCTGAAAGATAAAGAGACAAATAGTGTCTTGAGGCTGAAAGATAAAGAGACAAATAGTGTCTTGAGGCTGAAAGATAAAGAGACAAATAGTGTCTTGAGGCTGAAAGATAAAGAGACAAATAGTGTCTTGAGGCTGAAAGATAAAGAGACAGATAGTGTCTTGAGGCTGTAGGATAAAGAGACAAATAGTGTCTTGAGGCTGAAAGATAAAGAGACAGATAGTGTCTTGAGGCTGAAAGATAAAGAGACAAATAGTGTCTTGAGGCTGAAAGATAAAGAGACAAATAGTGTCTTGAGGCTGAAAGATAAAGAGACAAATAGTGTCTTGAGGATGAAAGATTAAGAGACAAATAGTGTCTTGAGGCTGTAGGATAAAGGGACAAATAGTGTCTTGAGGCTGAAAGATAAAGGGACAAATAGTGTCTTGAGGCTGAAAGATAAAGAGACAAATAGTGTCTTGAGGCTGATTGATAAAGAGACAAATAGTGTCTTGAGGCTGAAAGATAAAGAGACAAATAGTGTCTAGAGGCTGAAAGATAAAGAGACAAATAGTGTCTTGAGGCTGTAGGATAAAGAGACAAATAGTGTCTTGAGGCTGAAAGATAAAGAGACAAATAGTGTCTTGAGGCTGAAAGATAAAGAGACAAATAGTGTCTAGAGGCTGAAAGATAAAGAGACAAATAGTGTCTTGAGGCTGAAAGATAAAGAGACAAATAGTGTCTTGAGGCTGAAAGATAAAGAGACAAATAGTGTCTTGAGGCTGAAAGATATAGAGACAAACACTGTCTTGAGGCTGAAAGATAATGAGACAAATAGTGTCTTGAGGTTGTAGGATAAAGAGACAAATAGTGTTGTGAGGCTGTAAGATAAAGAGACAAATAGTGTTGTGAGGCCAGAAAATAAAGAGACAATTAGGGTCTTGAGAAGACAAAGAGACAAACAGTGTTTTGAGACTGTAAAATAAAGAACAAACAGTATCTTGAGGTCCAAGAACAGGAAACAAATAAAGTGTCTAGAGGTTGAAAGAAAAACAAAACAAATAAAGTGTCTTGAGGCTGACAAATATAAACACACATAAAGCATTAAAGGAATGCATGATAAAGAGATAAATGAAGTGTCATGAAGCTGTGAGATGTATACAGCGACAAGGGAGAAAAGTGACCAGGTAACCTCATATATCATGGCCTGGAATATGTGGCCTATTACTTCACACCCAACCGCAGCATCTGCGATGGGAGCTTACTTAACCTGGCTATGCATCAACATCTCCTTCTTCTCCTTAGCATTCATATACTGTAAACTCCAGCAGAAAGTTCTTATTGTTCCTCCACTCCTGGACATTGGTATACTGATCTAGAATTTGAGGTCTGCGTGCACATACGTTTTACAGTTTTGGCTTATCTGTATGCACAATGCTGATGTCTTGCCTTTTCCCACTTCGACTCGGAAGAAAACACCTCTAATCAGTTGCCTTCTATGACATGCTTGTAAGTACTGCACATAGTCTATTCTCTGCTCCCGGAACCCCAGAATAAGAATACACGTAAGGAAGATGCATCAAAGTACACTTGTACATTCTCATAATTTAAAGGCCTCAGGATATAATCTTTATATTTCTCAAGTGGGTTTTAAGGTCCCTACTTTTGGAGAAAGGAATAAAACAAAATAGATCCAATGCCACTCAGCAAGCTTGCTGAAACAGGCGATGAATCAAGGATTTTCTTAATGCATATATTTTGGACTGAAACGTGCTGATATTACAGTTCCAGCTGCAAATCATAACACAATGTGCCAGCCACCATTTTATGGGGGAATGATGATGATGATGATAAAAAAAGAAGAAGTAGAAGAAGAAAAAGAAGAAACAGAAGAAATGGAAGAATAAACTGAGAAAGCAGAAGAAGAAGGTTTTTTTTGGGTGGGGTGAGGGGGGGAATGGGGGGGGGGGGAGATGGTTGGGGGGGGGGAGATGGTTGGAGAAGAAGAACTTGAAAAAGAAGAAGAAATTTGAGGTTTTGTACAACGGATCAACATCATGGCACACGGGTAGTAACTCGTAAGTGCTCTGTTCTACTTCTAACTCAAGTTGGAGTCCGAAGAAGTTCAGTACAGTGCACAGGCTCTGTAGCACCGGCGAGGACCCCGAAATACTTTGGGTAGATTTTTTTACTCTAAATTTTGCCCGGGCAGTGTCGTTAGGCTAATCTTTTAAAGAAAAAGAAGAAGAAGAAAGAAGAAGAAGAATATCTATGAATGTTTACCTCATGTTAGGAAAATGTTCTCAACTGTTCTCTCACCTTTTTAAACTTCTTGTTTTGTTTGATCATGATGAGCTCATCCACCATACTCTGCAAGCATGTGCTGATCAACATGGCCTGTGGACACATCACAAACCAAACATCAGTTTTTGGATCCTGTATTCCCCGTGTCGTTCCCCCCGGCCACACTGCGGTGGGTAAAAAAGAAACAGACCCCCTGCCCCCAACAAGTATGTCATAAAAGTCGACTAATTATGTGTGCTCCCTTAGAAGTCGGAGTGAATCTGCCTGAGAGGTGAGAAATCTGTATTCAAATAAGCCAAATCTGTAAAACAGATGTGCACGCAAAACTCAAGTTCTGGAACAAGGGTGAAGTCCAGAGGTGAATGAACAAGCAGAACTTTTTGCTGGAGTTTACAGCCGGTGAACGCAAAGAAGAAGAAAGATCCAATACATTAAACACTGGTATCAAATGGCCAAACCATTTCACCTGTTGTTCTTTAATGAACTGTACAACTGGCTTTTTTATTCTAATTTCTTCATTTTTAATGTTATTACTTTTTGTTACTCTGGCAGTTTTTCTCTCTAAAAATAGGACACATACAGAGAAAACCTGATAATAGTATAACAAAAATGTCTTTACATTTAGATTCACAGAGTCCAAAAAATAAAGCAAGGTAAAAATACGTACAAAAATAAATGGAGAAGAGAATTAGGAATAAGACAACTGGACATGGCAATAACTGCTGCGATGGCAAAAGAAACAAGAAAATCGAAACAATTGAAATGAAATTTTTACGACGAATCCTAAATCTAATGAGAAGAGACAAAATCAGAAATCACAATATCAGGAAACAAGTTAGGATTGGACCAGTGCTGAACTACATCAGGAAAGAACAAATCAAATGGTTCGGACATGTGTCAAGGCACCACACAGAGCACTGTCACTCAGACACAGCGGAAGCATCCCTAAAGGTCACCCACGCAAGTGATGGATAACTGGAATATCTAAGGAAGGGGATTTCAGCATCTACACGCCGCACACAAACACACACATACTCACACACACACACTTTCTCTCTCCCTCTTTCTCTCTGCGTGCACCAGATGCCTTTTCAAAACAATATAATCAAAAGTGGAATAGGATATAGAGAAAAGAAAAATAAAGAAGATGACAAATTGAAGGATAAGACAATTTAGCCTAAGCTCCACCTGTGGAACGAAAGGAAGAAATACACAAATGTTGAACGCTGAATTAAGAATTAACAGCACAGCACTGGGGACAATCCCATAAGTGCTTTGAACCCATCGTAAGCAGCAAGCTCAGAAGAGTTCCGATTGCGATATCAATTGCGTAACAATTGTATTGTATATCTGTCTTGCCTTTCCCTTGAATGTTGACCATATTCCTTGATCACTCCTTGCAGCGCCATTCTCCTCAGACCATAATGATCTATTTCTAATGTGGACTGTTTGTGTTAGCACTTCGGATGGCTACCATATGCTTTAATGCAGTGTATGCTAGATATGCTGACTCGCTCCTAAAGGGCCCATACAACATCCAGCTTGTCATGCATTAGTTCACCACCAAGTGGGGCAAAATCAGCTAGTCCATCAATCTGTTTGTTTCCCAACATACCAGCATAACCTGCTGAAAATATCCAAAAAACATTTACTACCTGGGACCTATAAGGTGGTGCACAAAGCATACCTGTCTCCACCTTTCTCAAAATGCTCTGTAATTCTGCTCTCCATTCATTTTTGCAATGAAGTATACACATATCTGGGAAACATACACTCATTCACACAAAAAACTCACTTGATCACTGATGATGGAAATCCACTGGAGTGTGTCCCGGGACATCAAATATTCAAAGGACAGTTCCAGCTGTGACTTCTGGTTGGTAGATGATGGAGATTTGTCATCACTGCCTGGATACTGTAACAGAATGAGCATGTCATGTTATGTATAGCAATGCGTTTTAGTTGGACAGGACACAGAGGCACTCAACCACACCTGGTGGTACACCATGTCCCGGCTCATACTGGTCAAGGCCTGCCTACACCTCTCTGCAGACATCCTGGAAATAGATCCTCAACTGGGAGCCTGGCCAGCATAAGCTGGACCAATATTTCCTTCAAAGCTGGACGGCATCTGCCTAAGAAGTATGAAGTCACATCTGCACAATGAAGCCACATCTGTGAAACAGATTTGCAATAAAACTCAAGTCTGGGGACAAGACCAAATTCCAGAAGTAGATGAACAGCCAGGACTTTCTGTTGGAGTTTACAGAGGTGAACGGTAAGAAGTAGAAGGTTTGGTCAGGCAGCAATAAGACCGGCACATCTTTGTGACAACGTGGTCAGGAAGCTCGATTTATACTTTGAAGTCCAGTATCTTACCTCTGCAAGGAATTCATGAGTCTTGGAAAAGTTGGTCCAGATAAGTATCACATAGTTCATTAATTCTGTCCTTTATTATTATTCTTTTTTCAATTGTGTACATAATATTTTAATGTAGTCATTTCACAGTCAGTGCATATTTTTTATATGTGTTGTATTTTGTTCGTTGCTGTTGTTTTGCTGATGAAGGCTAATTGCCACAACGCCTTCTGTTTGTTCACTGTAAATGACTTTGTAAAGCTGACATCTATTTTATGGTTTTCCTTACCCCTTTCTATCTCTTCTCTTCCCAATAGTTTCCTTATCGTGTTTAGATTTTTAAAGCTTTGACCACAGTCCCCTCATTTCAAGCATGGACAGAGATTTTGTGACAGGTCTCAATGTAAAGTTTAGTGACTGCATGTATTTTGCTTTTAAATTTATAACTGTATCATTGTCTGTTTGTGTCATATAGTGAGGAAGGCTTTCTAGCCGTAACATTCATTGTATCATTCATGACTGTGGTATTGGGAAGCAGAACAAGAGCAAAACAAGAAAAATGCTTCTTCTTCTTCTTAGTGTTCTCCAGCTGTAAACTCTGGTGGAAAGTTTTGACTGTTTGTCCACATCTGGACTTTGGTCTTGTTCCAGTACGCAAGTTTTGTGTGCACATCTGTTTTACAGATCTGATTAACTTATATGCAGACTGTTGGTTTATTGCCTCCCAGGGAGACGCACTCCAATTACAAAAGGAAACTACTATAATCAGTAATCGCCTTTGACATACTTGGCAGGGGGCAGTGGGTCTATCCCTCCCCCCACAATGAAACCCTGGAATCCTACCCACCTGTGGGAACCAGAAAACAAGAAGCTGTAGAGACAACAACAAACACACCACCAAAATAATATACTTACAACTGTTGTGATTCTCCAGCAACGCATCCGTGTAATTTTGAAACTGCCCTCTTTGATCTGCCCCTGTAAGACACAGTCATCGACACAATTATCAGCCAAATTAAGTATTTCAACCTCAGAATTTCTACAAAGTATAAACAAGTGGGAGAATCAGAGAGCAAACAAATTTTATTTTTAAAGGGTTAAGAATTGGTCACGCAGGCCTGTCTAAGATTTTACCTGTCCAGTCCACTCCTTGCATACAGTTATTTATTTATACATCATTTTATAGTTAATAATAATAAAAAAATGTTTGCACTATCCAAGTCTGGAATCTGCTCTAATTATACTTACATTACTGAACTTTTCAAAAAAGTATAGTAATAAATCTAATACCCAAAAAAAATGTTATTTAAGTCTAACAGGTTGCACAAGAAAAACATAATCAACAACAATTAAATATTAGCTGCAAATGCTGAAACAATAACTTCAGTTGGGAAAAAAAAAGACATCTGATGGAAATACAACATATGCTTAACATACTATAATCTTCTAAGGGGGCATATAGTCTCCAGTGAGATGGCAATCAAGTAGTTTGTGTGATTGTATGTATAGGGGTTAGTGGTATTTTTGATTTCCTGTGGAAGATGATTCCACAGCTGAGCTGCAGAGCACGCTAAGCTTTTTCTGTATAGGTCTATTCTAGGTTTAATCATATGCAATACGTTCAGGGGAAAAGAGAAGAATAGAGGCAGGTGGTATCTGCAGCAATGAATCTCAAGAGATCAGAATGCTGAAGAAGAAGATACATGTGACATATTAGTTCTGCGGCTAACACTCTTGCTGGCTGGCCTGTTAAACATGTGTTTGAATCCTATCTGAAGCAGAAATTGTTTTCATTCACCTCAGCTTCAGGAAATAATCCAGCCTACAAAAATTGCACTAGGATTTTTCTTCTTTCCTTTGCCAATATCTGCTACGTCCCACTAGTCATTGCATTTTAACAGATGATCCTAGCCGAGCTACTGCATGCTAAGTTGTTATGGTATGCCGTGCTGCTTTCAAGTCTAGGGTTGTCAGTGATTCTTTCAATCCATCATCTTCTAGATTTCCCTATGCCTCCTGGTGTTTTCATTTTCATGATGTACACTCTCATTAATTTGCCTGTAGATTGGAAAGTCGTAGGTTCGGGTCCTGGCGGAGCTGGTCTTTAAAAAAGAAAAATGATCTTGGCTTCCCAGGTCGACCCAGCCTTGAATGGTTTTCAAGTGTAGTCCTAGGAAGTAAAGGTGGTCGGCATGATGCTGACCACCTCACCCACCAAGTTCTGATTGGTCTATAAAATATAGGTCTAGCCCTATATGCCCAGTAGCCTGAAGGCATGGAGAAAGGTCCTTTACTTTGACACTCTCAGTGCTGGCATCATTAGGTTCATTCTCATTTGGCAGCTGCACCAGTTAATTCTTGGCTTCTCAATGAATTTAACGATGGGCTTTGTTTCAAAGTCATCACTTCTTTCTTACAAATCTCTTCTGGTTTTATATAGTTTTAATTTAGGATACCCCTTCCTTGCAACTCATTACCACTTCGACTCTAAAGTCAACCTACTTGAATTAGAAAGATAAGCTTAACTTATATGCATTCTAAAGTTTGCCTACTTGTATCCGAATCAACATTAACTGACTTAATTCTTAAACTCGAAAGCCAACTCATCTAACTCTAGTTAACTCACATGCATACCTATAAAGTTAACTAATGTTCCTCTAAAATTAACTCACTTGGACTTGAACTCTAAAGTTAAGCTCCTTCTGCCCAGCTGCAACAATGACTCTTGTGTTTGGCTCAGGGTAGTCTGTGAAGCAAGGCTTGAAGTGCATATAGCCATAGTATTTCAGTGTGGAAGCCATTTTGAGAAACTGCAATTTCCCCAAAAAATAATCATAATTTAGTGGTCTGTGCATGATGAAATGAATGTCAGATTGGATCAGTAAGTAGCACAAAGACTGTTAAGGAGTGAGTGGTGAAGATTATTAGTGATAATGATGTTCGTCCAACATGGGCGATGAAGACCACGTTTCAAACAAAGTATCAATGATCAATGATTATGAGTACAAAGGTGACTGATTAGTTCAATATGAACTTGGAAAATTCTTGAGCAGTGTGGACAACAGGTGGAAGCCACAGTTAAGTGTGGAATTAGAAATATAGTTTTTTTCTAATCTGCCTCCGTTTCTCTGCCTGTGCACCTCCACTGCCTGGCAGGCCAATGCAACATGCCTGAGGGATGCACACCATCCAGAACAGTCCTGTGTAGCAGCCTCCCGTGTTGCTGTGTTGATGATAAAAGAACTGAAAGCAGCTTTGAGAGTGTTCTTATAGTGCTTTTCCACCCTCCCTGGGACCTCTTCCCTTGTTGGAGCTCGCCATAAAATATTCTCTTTAGGAGGCAACAATCTGGCATGCGGGCTAGGTGACCAGCCCAACCAAGTTATTAAATTATGCCAAGACAACGACACTGCCCACAGGGACCGTATATGTTTTGAACAACTCAATGAACATCGGTAACTTAATCATGGACTTTGTCTGTGTACAGTTCTGTATGGGTAGGGCAAAGGAGCCTAATGTAAATGAGCAAAACCGTTCAGTGAGTAGCCAGTGTCCCATAATGCCTTTGTTTAACTCCTTTAGACCAAAGTATTTTTTGCTTTTGGGTTACACTCTTTTGCATAGAAAGGATTACATTAACAAAAACCTAGACCCAAAACAGTTAACAGTCTAAGACCAAACCCAGCAAAAATAAAAAGGCTCTCACTTCTCGCTTGGAACCTTTCTTTCGTAAATTCACCAAGTGGCTAAGCTGCTCCTTGGTTGCTAGAATCCACTGTCTTTCGATATCATTGTTGGCTTGTACGTACAAGAGGTTCATGGTGATCTTGTTGTCCAACAAGTCGTTGTCAAAAGATGGATCCCAGTATCTAAGGATCAAATTAAGTATCAGAGGATCAGATTAAGTATCAGAGGATTAGATTAAGTGTCAGAGGATAAGATTAAGTTTCAAAGGATAAGATTAAGTATCTAATAAGATTAGGTATCTGATAATAAGATTATGTATCTGAGGATAAGATTAAGTATCTGAGGATAAGATTAAGAATCTAAGGATAAGATAAGTATTTGATGATAAGATTAAGTATCTGAGTATAAGAATAAGTATTTGAGGATAAAAGTATCTGATGATAAAATTAAGTATCTGAGAATAAGATTAAGTATATGAGGAAAAGATTAAGTATATAAGGATAAGAATAAGCATCTGAGGATAAAAGTATCCAATGATAAGATTAAGTATTTGAGGATAATATTACATACACAGCTCCGAGAGACATTTCATTTTTCCTATCAGTTTAGTTCTGAACAAGACATTTGTGACCCAAATCCACTGTTCTCTCCACCTTACCGAATGAGAAAAGACACCTTTTCAAGAAAAACTATTAAAACTTTTCCAACCCAGTGATGCAGTGGGTCCTGCAGGTAAAATAGTTTTAGCAAACTAATGAGAAACACAGTTCTCTACCCTTTTGCCCTGCAAATTGCTTAAAAAAAAAAAAAAAAAAAATTCTAATCCTAAAAAAATTCCTATTATAAAACACACTGCTGTCCTTAATCTGAGAGAATTTCCCAAAAATTCTTATTAAAATACCATCCATTTGGCTGCGAATAAAACCAGAAGAGATCAGTGAGAAACATTTACCAAAATATTAAAACAAGCAAAGAATAAAAAATGGTTCAGAATGGAAACCACGATGCCAGCATATTAGGTGGTAGAACACCAAGCAGGCAGGGGAAGACCACACAGACTTCATAACATCACGGCATATGAAGCGACTGAGCGTGCCTTGGCTCGGTTGCCGATCATCTGATAGACTGCGACGCCTAGCGGCACAAGCAGATTTTGACAAAAGAAGAATAAAACCATCCATTTTACTCAGGTCATTAATGGTTAGTTGCGTATCCTTTACAGGACGTTGCAGAACCAACCCCAGCAGCCCCTGGTTGTTGTGTGGTTTCTCTAGGCAAATTTACGTCCAGTAGTTTGCCATTGCTTTCTGGACGTTGGACCCCCTGATACCATTGTCAAAACCAATGCAAGGCACATGGCCCGCAGCTGGGATCGAACCCGGCACCCCGGCATTATGAAGCGTTGGCATCGACTTAGCCACAGAGCTGACTCAGGTCATATTTAAATTTTTTAAAAAATCATTTATTAGGTGGTAGATATATAGATCAAGTAATCATGAACACAGTACAGCATTAAATGGAATACATTTAACAACAACAACAAAATGTGTTGTGTGACCTATGCTACGACCCTGTGACCTCTATTGCTAAAGCATAGGGAAATATTTTATGTCAACATGGCTTTGAAAAAGTTGGTTCACAAGAACAACAAGTTGCCTTTTTAGCAAACTATTCATATCCGGGCCTCCCAAACGCTGCACAGGCATGAACAAAACCAATGACTTCAAACCATAATTCTCAGAAACAGATCATTGCAGACGTGTTGGTTTCATAGCCTTTATGGGAACAATGAAAATGCTGAGTTACTGGCTTCCCGGGGTGACAAGGTTAAGGGTTAGATGCTGATGTATTAAATGAGTAAGTGACAATTAGATAAGAAAAAAAAAACGCAGAAGATATCAAGATTTAGTTTTGCTGAAGAATGATGAGAACTAAATGGACTGTTGAAAATTACAATTAATATTTTTTTTACAGCAGTAAACTTTAGAAAGTACAATGAAGATTTAGAAAGTACAATGAAGATTCCTTGACATAAGTTAACTATAAACAGTACAATAAAGATTTCTTGACACAGTTAACTTTAAACAGTACAATGAAGATTTCTTGGCAGCAGTTAACTTTAAACAGTACAATGAACATTTCTTGACATCAGTTAATTTTAAACAGTACAATGAACATTTCTTGACAGTTGTTAACTTTAAACAGTACAATGAACATTTCTTGACAGCAGTTAACTTTAAACAGTACAATGAACATTTCTTGGCAACAGTTAACTTTAAACAGTACAATGAAGATTTCTTGGCAACAGTTAACTATAAACAGTACAATGAAGATTTCTTGACACAGTTAACTATAAACAGTAAAATGAAGATTTCTTGACACAGTTAACAATAAACAGTACAATGAAGATTTATTGGCAGCAGTTAACTTTAAACAGTACAATGAAGATTTCTTGACAGTTAACTATAAACAGTACAATGAAGATTTCTTGACATAAATTAACTTTAATCAGTACAATGAAGATTTCCTGACAGCAGTTAACTCACTAAGAGAACTGATATCCCATTACACATATCAGCAAATAAAAACAACTGACATTATTTGGGAAAATCAGGAGACAGAGAAACCTGGAGCACATCATGACAACAGGAAAGTTAAAGGGAAAGAGAGCCAGAGAAAGAGAGACCAAGAGAGAAGATGCAGGACAGTTTGGCCCCATGGCATGAAAAAAACCATCTGAATACAAAATGACTGACAATACACAAGGCAGAAGACGGTGGACATACACAACTGCCAGCAGGCATGGGCAATGAAAAGAATTCACCAACATAAATTAGAACAACAAATTAACTATGAAATAATAATACTTGCCCTTTTCTGAGAACTATTCTGTGAACTCCATGTTTGTTGGCTGCCTTCAGGGAGAGGTACGGAGACTCGAACTCCTGGAGTTTTCGCACAACTAGAAGAAATTGTTCAAGAAAAGTTATGCTTCATGTTCTTGTCGCACAACTAGAAGAAATTGTTCAAGAAAAGTTATGCTTCATGTTCCTGCCGCACAACTAGAAGAAACTGTTCAAGAGAAGTTATAGTTCATATTCCTGCTACACAACTAGAACAAATTGTTCAAGAAAAGTTATGCTTCATGTCCCTGTCGCACAACTAGAAGAAATTGTTCAAGAAAAGTTATGCTTCATGTCCCTGTCGCACAACTAGAAGAAACTGTTCAAGAAAAGTTATAGTTCATATTCCTGCTACACAACTAGAAGAAATTGTTCAAGAAAAGTTATGCTTCATGTCCCTGTCGCACAACTAGAAGAAATTGTTCAAGAAAAGTTATAGTTCATATTCCTGCTACACAACTAGAAGAAATTGTTCAAGAAAAGTTATGCTTCATGTCCCTGTCGCACAACTAGAAGAAATTGTTCAAGAAAAGTTATGCTTCATGTCCCTGTCGCACAACTAGAAGAAATTGTTCAAGAAAAGTTATGCTTCATGTCCCTGTCGCACAACTAGAAGAAATTGTTCAAGAAAAGTTATGCTTCATGTCCCTGTCGCACAACTAGAAGAAACTGTTCAAGAAAAGTTATAGTTCATATTCCTGCTACACAACTAGAAGAAACTGTTCAAGAAAAGTTATAGTTCATATTCCTGCTACACAACTAGAAAAAATTGTTCAAGAAAACTTATGCTTCATGTTCCTGCACCATCTCACACATTTTGGCTTTCCTATGTAAAAACACGCTCATACTTACACAGCAATTGTGGAGGTAATGGGGTAAGAAATGCTGAATATAATGTGACTAGAAAGCTCAACGGAAAGAATGGAAAAGACGCATACAAACACAACCAAACATTTCGACCAAAGTCTTTATTAACGGAATACTAAATACAGCACAAACTGTGACTGGAAAACTCAACGGACAAGACAACAAAGCTAATTAGAAAACCAAGATCAACATGAAACTAAGAAGTATGTTAGGGGTAAAAATATGAATATGAAGGGCTGTAATACAAAACAAAATAAGTAAGAAAGTGTATGTAAAAAGAGGGGGAGAAATATGAATAAGTTAAATAAATGAACAAGTAAAAAAATTAAATTAAATAAAGCTGTGTTGAATACTGATCTCTCCAGGACTAAGAATGTCAAAACTATGAATGAGTAGTGGCTGGTTTGATCACAGAAGCAAGATTTAATAGCAGTAACTGAGATGGTGGTCAGAACTGTTAAAATGGAGGGAGACAGGTTTGAACAGCCTTGTTGTGAATGTCAGCAAGATGTTCATGGAGGCGATCTGCTAGTTTCCTACTGGATTCCCCAATATATGCTTTTTCACATCTTTTGCAGACGATGGCATAAATTAGGTTGGGCGTTTTGCAATTAAATGCTTCTCTAATGTGAAACAAACCCTTCAGGAAGCAAACTAAAGAAGTCTGGATCACAAACTGACAAGTTTTGCATCTTGTACGGGAGCATTTGGAAGTACCAAAAGGAATTTCTGTCTGGATCGGAGACAGTCTGCTCCTAAGATTACAGTCTCACCTGTAGACAACTCTAGGGTTGTCACTAAATATCTTGCAGGTATCAGGATCAGAGCGAAGAAAATTAAGGTGACCATGGAAGATTTTAGACACAGCCAAATTATAAGGGTGGTATGTTAAGATCAGACCAAGTGTATCAGAAGTAGGTTTAGGTTTAGTGGGCAAGGCCTCTCTCTGAGTGATGGATAGTACTTTTTTAAGAGCCCCTATGAGCCCAATGTTCAGGGTAAAGGCGTGCATAGAACAAAATCCAGAAACTCATGTGCCTTAGAGTCCACAAGTGGAGGAACAACAAGAACTTTACGCCAAAGTTTACTGCCGGGGAACATAAAGAAGAAGAAGACAGGTGCCTGTTGTCCAGATGTTGCATCCATGGTGAAGGTAAAGAAGAAGAAGAAGAAGACAGGTGCCTGTTTCCCAGATGTTGCATCCATGGTGAAGGTAAAGAAGAAGAAGACAGGTGCCTGTTGCCCAGATGTTGCATCCATGGTGAAGGTAAAGAAGAAGAAGAAGAAGACAGGTGCCTGTTGCCCAGATGTTGCATCCACGGTGAAGGTAAAGAAGAAGAAGAAGAAGACAGGTGCCTGTTGTCCAGATGTTGCATCCATGGTGAAGGTAAAGAAGAAGAAGAAGAAGAAGACAGGTGCCTGTTGCCCAGATGTTGCATCCACGGTGAAGGTAAAGAAGAAGAAGAAGAAGAAGACAGGTGCCTGTTGTCCAGATGTTGCATCCATCAAAAGTTATTAGAAAATATGTCTCATAATTTCATTCTTTTTTTTTTTTAAATCGCCTCAAAATGTTCACACTGCTATTTCTTTGATTAGAAATAGTGGAGACATAATGGCTAGATGCTTTTTTTTTTGCCAGGCTGAAGTTCTTATGTTTGAATCTACATCAGAGGAATTTATTTAAAAGAGAAAAAACCGTTGCTTCCCGGTCGATCTAGTCTAAATAGGTTCAAACAGCCTAAAAATTGTAATACTGCCATTTCTTTGATTAGCAGAAGTGGAGAGAGAGTGGCTAGATGCATTTTTGCCAGGTTGAAGCTCTTAGGTTTGAATCTACATCAGAAGAATTTAATAGAGGGGGAAAAAGCAAACCTTGGTTACCAGGATGATCAAGTCTAAAATAGTCACAAGGTAATAAGGCAAGTAATGTGGCCAGTTTGATGTTGGCCATATATCAAGTGCTGACTGGTCTATAAACTGACAGTCTAGCAACATATGATGATGTACACTGGTATGGAAAGGGTTACATTACTTACACTTTTTTTATCACATATACAGTAAAACCCGCATTAACATAATGATGTTTACTTTCACTGTTGTCTGGTGGGTCTATGATGTTTACTTTTACTGTTGTTTGGTGGGTCTATGATGTTTACTTTTACTGTTGTTTGGTGGGTCTATGATGTTTACTTTTACTATTGTTTGGTGGGTCTATGATGTTTACTTTTACTGTTGTTTGGTGGGTCTATGATGTTTACTTTTACTGTTGTTTGGTGGGTCTATGATGTTTACTTTTACTGTTGTTTGGTGGGTCTATGATGTTTACTTTTACTGTTGTTTGGTGGGTCTATGATGTTTACTTTTACTGTTGTTTGGTGGGTCTATGATGTTTACTTTTACTGTTGTTTGGTGGGTCTATGATGTTTACTTTTACTGTTGTTTGGTGGGTCTATGATGTTTACTTTTACTGTTGTTTGGTGGGTCTATGATGTTTACTTTTACTGTTGTTTGGTGGGTCTATGATGTTTACTTTTACTGTTGTTTGGTGGGTCTATGATGTTTACTTTTACTGTTGTTTGGTGGGTCTATGATGTTTACTTTTACTGTTGTTTGGTGGGTCTATGTTTACTTTCACTGTTGTCTGGTGGGTTAACGATGTTTACTTTCACTGTTTACTTGATGAGAGAAATATTTAACAAACAGCAAACACTACTCACTTGAACTGTCCCCATCATCTTCCTTTTTGACAAGGAAAAGTCCAAAGTAATGAACAAAATCATCGGGAATTTCTATCTGTTGAGCTACAGCCTGCAGACAACATTAAACACAATTATCATCATCATCATTATCCCTTTGCCGACTGGCATGGGCAATCACGCAACCTTATTACCTTTGGCCTCCAACAATGTTAAACGCAACACGGTATATAAGTATTATTCATAAAGATCAATCAACACATTGTGGGTTAACCATCATGATTCTCCAAGACTGTCCTATGTTTTTTTTGTTCCCTATTTGATTTCCGGTCCCATTTTTGAGAGAAAAATAACAGACCCACTGCCACCTAACAAGCATAAAGAGAAAGATAACTAATCAGATGCACTCCACCCCATCCTCCATTAAGCATGTCATAAAAGGCTACTTCTTCTTCAAACTCACTGGCTGTAACCTCAAGCGGACAGTTAGTCGTCATTCATCCACCTCTGGACTTTTAGTCTTGTTTCAGAACCCAAGTGTTATGTGCACATGCAGTTTACAGATCTAACTTATTTATATGCAGACTGCTGATTCCTTGCCTCTCAGACAGACCTTCTTTTTTTCTTTTCAAAGTTGTAGGTAGAGTGTGCAGGTCGGCAGAATGTGCTCAGGTGTTTGTGGTCCTGTTTCTAACCCCCCCCTCCCACCCCCGCCTGTTGACTCAAGATACTTGTGGGGGGTGGGGGGGTGGGGGGGGAAGCGGTGGGTCTATTCTTATTTACCACCAAAACCCATACAGAAAATAAAAGGTTACTAATTAAAAGTGTTTCCTTTGAAGTCAGAGTACATCTGCCTGAATGATGACGAACCAACAGTCTGCATACAAATAAGTCAGATCTGTAAAACAGATACACATGCAAATCTCAAGTTCTGGAACAAGACATAATCCCAGAAGTTGATGAAAACCAACATTTTCACCGCAGTTTACATTAGCTAACTCTAAGAATAATTTTTAAAAAAATTACTTGATGATTACCCAGTGACAAACATGGACTCTTACTACAACTAATGAGCGGAAGATCGTAACAACAGAGATGAGTTGTTTCAGGAGAGCTGCCGGCGTGACAAAAAGAGCTAAAATCAGGATTGAAGAAATTAGAAGAAGACTAGGTCTGAAACCAGTCATACAATTCATTAAAGAACAACAAATGAGATGGTTTGGCCACCTGACGAGAATGCCCTGGTACCAACTGCCACAGAGAGCCATGCTGAAGAAATATGATTACAGAGCAAGGGGAAGACCACGCAAGAGATGGAGGGACACCATCAGGTGCAACCTAATAGAAATGGACACCAACTTGTATAATACACTGAAAAAAGCGCACAGACGAACCTTACATCTCCCCCCAACACCTGGCCGAGGTAAATGGTGGAAGAGAAGAAGAAGATGAAGATGATTAATTTTAAAGATTTTCAAATTAAAGTGAAAGGACAAGTTTAACAAATGAAAACACACAAAAAAGAGTTGAGACAGGCATATACAAATTGAGACAAAATTAATGTACAGCCAACCTCTAGAACATCATCGGTCTGATCCGTAGACATTAAGCTGATGGTAATCTTGTGACCATTCATGAGGAATGTATCCAGTGAAACACGTTCAGCCTCCTCCATTTGTGATTCCTGAAGTTTACACAAGTTAAGAACATAAACATTATACTAGTTGCTTTAGTAAGCTTGCGCTTGCTAAAATCATTTCTACATTTAACCCTTTCACCCAGAGAACCCAAAATCAGGTCACTTCCTCCCTCGAAGTCGGAGTACATCTGCCCGTGAGGCAGGGAACGGCAAAAGCCAGAAAACGGTTGTACACACAAAACTCAGGTCCAGGTAAAAGCCAAAAGTTCAAGCGGACGATTAACCGGGACCTTCCACCGGAATTCACAGCCGGTGAACGAAGAAGAAGAAGGTCACTTCCGGCTATGAAACAATGCTAACTGGTCAGACCTGGAATCTCTGTACTGCATGTAGATATCATGTCTTCAGCTCATGTTCATGATTCTGTGATGCTCGTCCACCTGGGCAAAGTTCTGAGTGAGTGATGTTTTATGCGTAACAACTGTTTAAAAATTGTTATTACAAAGTTTATGACATATTTTACACCTTTATGACGAACTGTTGGACCCATCAACAATGCAAACAGCGGGGAATGGAGAGTAAGAAGCAACAATAAACATTCACAACTTGTTAAAATCGCCAATGATCACTGGCATCATGAGGGCTAATAGAATTAAATGGCTGGGGAATACTGAGAGAACACAAGATGACAGAGAGGTTAAAAACTGTAAGCAAGGGAGCTGAATGGTAGCAGTCCATGAGGCAGACCAAGAAGACGATGGAGAGATAATATACAAATAGACCTGTAAACACTTGGTCACCAACGGGAAAGAAGACTTATCACAGAGATGAATAGGGGTGCGTGATATCTGCAGCAATAAACCTCAAGGGCTCTGTATGCTTACATCGAAGAAGAAGAAGTATCATAACTGTTTGTCCCAAGTAAACAAAAAAAACCACAAAATGACTTTATTTAGTTTCAAACATTAAATTACCTGCTGAGCTGTGAGTAGAAATGTGTTAAACAAATCACTGCTGCTTATCTGAGGGTCCTGACTCACTGAAATGTAGGGAGAAACAAAACATTCAAGAGCTCACACAAGGAGAACGAACATTATAAACAAACATATTTGTGGTGATTACCCCTTAATTTTGATAAAATCTTTTCGACATAGGTTGTGGGACTCCATTTTAGAATAAAAAGAAAATAGATAGGATTTTCTCTCCCCCCCCCCCCCCCCCCAGCAATAAGGGGTTAGCTGACACTGAATGTGTTAGACCGAAAGGCGCAGATGTTTTGTTTTAACCTTGCTGTAAACCACAACATACTGTGCTAACTGCCCTCTTAGAGGAGAATGCAGAAGAAGAACACAATCTTATAATGAACATTAAATTAAATATCTTCTTTAATTTTCTTAAATAGTCCCTTTTTTAATCATCTAAGAAACAAACTATGCACTATTACTCTTTCTATACGACTGGGTCAAAATATTTGAATTTCAGATCCAAGAGATTCCTTATAGATAAACATGAGAGGACACAGTACACTAACTATTTTGGTCTGCAAGTGTCAGAACTGATGTCCAAGTGAGTCAATAATGACCACAATAAAAACTGTAGTACATAAGAGTCTGAGCCACAAAACATTTAGGAAAAGCTTATTATGTAACTCCAGGGTGACCCAGTGTAACCACTTTATGAGGCTGAACAGGGTTTCTGGGAATTGACCCTCTTGGATTTGCATTCAAATACTGGAATTATTATATGATAAATGCTTGTCAAATCCCCCCACCCCCCCCTCAACCACCGCTCTCTCTCTCTCTCTCAGTAAATGATGAAGAAACTGAAAATGTCAAAAATGTGCAATATCTATTCAGCAATGAAGACTTATACAGAAGTCAAAAGCAGGATGACACAGCAATGCACAGAATAAACAGGATTAAGATTTCATGGTTAAACACCATCAAGGAAATTAAAGTTACAATTTTGAGAGCGTGCATCTTACCTGTAGCAACATACAGATGTGAGTCGTGAACATCAATAAGAGAAAACGGGGCTTCTGAGTTGAAATGCTGTAGAAAGATTCTCAGAATACCATGGACAAAGAAGAAGAGAAATACTGACATCTTTAAGGATAAGGACATCTAGGAAGATTGTCTAGCAAACAGCATCTTGTCTCAGAAACTGAAATATTCTGGCCATGTCAAGTACCTTGATGGACTGGACAGAATAATAGCAAAAGGCACAGTGATAGGAAATAGAGGCAGGGGTCGACCAGCATGAAGACAGACACATTATATAAGAGACACCTTGGGTAGGAAAGTGTATGAGTCAGAAGATCTCGTGACAGTCTCTTTCAGGCCGGCTGTGATGAGAGTGAAGTCTAGCTTCAAGATGATGATCCTAGAACTAAATGAATCCAACAATAGGACTGAAAATAAGGACCAACCAAGCTGAATGTATCGTTCCAACAAAACTCTCCGTTGTTCGATTTCTGGCGGAGACAAAGCAAGAAGCTTCTTTTTAGGAAATTCTGGAAGGATATGGGACCCAAACTCCTTCTTGAGCTGAAAGTTAACAGATAACAAACAGTTGTTACACTAGTTACAGGTGGAGGTCAAAAGTTAACAAACATAATTGTATTTACAACAATTACAGCTGGGACATCACTTCTTTTTCTTCGTGTCCACTGGTTGTAACATCTGGCAGAAAGTTCTGGTTGTCCATTTACTTGTGGAATTTGGTCTTGTTCTAAATCTTGAGTGTTGCATGCACATTGACTTTACAGAGAGAGTTTTACAAATATGTACACAGACAGTTGGTACCTCTCCTCTCAGGCAAATGCACTCTGACTATGAAGGAAACACCCCTAATAAGTCACCTTTTACGACATGCTTGTTAAGAAGACAATGGGTTAACCCCCCCCCTCCCCCCCCATATCCACAATGGATCCTGGAAGCCACATGGGAAGGAAAGCCAATTGATCACAAACAAATTTAGATAATCCAATAACTATATCTGGAGAGTCAATAGATAACAAATAATTACGGTAAATATTTACATATTCTTGTTTTACCCAGTTAGACATTTCAGGGATTAAGGTCACTCACCCTGGTTTCCATTATAGACTGCAGGCCAGGATTTTTAAAATTTGTCTTTCAAGATGTATTTATTAAAAATTATAAAATGCTTTTAATCTGTTACAAGTTTACGATCAGGTACCTTGCCAAATAGGATGTTTTTATTAGTTATTAGCAACATAACAGAGAATCCATACACTGAAAGACTAATTAAACTGGATGGGGAAAGGGGGGGGGGGGGGGGGAGAGATTGCATCTGGTACTGTTAGCACATCGACTCTTTGCAGGCTACTGAAGAAGGGGACAGAGCAAGTGTGGGAATATTGTGAGTGCAGTGATGTCACTTCTTTATTAACTGACTGGTTCATTATTAGTTATACTGTCATTTTATGATAAGCGACTACTACACTAACTCATCAAAATTAATAAATGTATTGCGAATAAATGTATAGCTAATTTCTTCACAATGCCAGGGTGTTGGGTTAGATCCCAGCTGCAGGCCTTAGCTTTGACAGTGGTATCGAGAAACCGACGGTCCAGAAAGCAATGGCAAACTATGGGAAGTCAATATACCTAGAAAAACCCACAACACCCAAAAAATGATAGAGTTGGTTCTGCAAAGTCCTGTAAAGGATACACAACTAACTTTTTAATGAATGAGGTGATACTGCTTGTTCTCAGCCTCGTGTTTAGGATGGAGAGTTGAACCACCACCTGCAGTGGCACACCAAGACCAGGGTTCAAAACTGGGGAAAACCTATCTACAACTCTCCGCGGTCATTTTAGAAATAGGTTACCAACAAGAAGCCTGGTCATCATACAGAGGATTGGGATTTCCTTCCAGGTTAGATAGCATGTGCCAGAGAGATGAGGAAAAACATGTGCACAAATAAGCCAGACCAGCCAGGACTTTCCACTGGAGTTTACAGCCAGTGAATGTGAAGAAGCAGCAGCATTTAGATGGTTGAATCATTTAAGGCTTTGTCTGTCAATTAATTTAACTAATAATGTTCCAACAGTTGTTCTAATGTCTTAGAGCAAGCTATGGGGAACCATGAAGGACCTGCTGCTGTCATGCGAGTTTATAGAGGCAACCCACCTGATGGTCTGATCTGAGCATTCGAAACCAAACGCAAAGAAGAAGTTTTTATGTCTTAATTTTTTATATGATTTCTTCTGACTTTGCTTGCCGTCCTTCTCCAACATGTCATTTCCCTGGTGATTAGTTTTCTCTCATGTTCTTTTAAGTATATATGTAGTCATTTTATCTCTGAACTCTTTAAGTCGCATATGTAAGTCATAGGTTCCTACCTAAAAGCCCAATATACACAAGATGCGCTGATTATACGTCCCTCATTACTACCCTAGGGCTTCTTGTGCTAAACCCAAAGAGATTAAAAGAGTTAAACCAATTTTAGATCCTGTTCTGAGATTATCCCAACTATTCTGTAATGAAACAACATACATAAAGGTAGGAATGAGTTACCTCATCGTGAAACTGTCTCATCTGTTTGTACCTTGCCTTGCAGTGGAACACTCCATTAATGTAGATGTTGTACATCTAAAACAATGCAGATAAAGCAGGAAAATATATAATTAGTAGTCATTATTGTATAATCTAATAAAATCATGCATGCTATCTTATTCCATCATAAATTATTTTCTTCTTCCTTATATCACCAAATGAGTACACCCCCACTTGTCCATAATCTGTTGGATAGTGAGGTAGCAAGTCTCACTCCACATTTATTTTTTGACACTAAATTACCAATTGTCAGTAATTTTCTTTTAATGTATTTGATAATTTTGATTTATGTGTGTGTGTCTTTTTTCTCAAGAGTTTTTATTACAAGTTAGGGGATTTGGAAGGGGGGGGGGGGGGGGGAAAGGGGGTCCTCTTTTTAATCATAACTTTTAAGCTGGGAGACCTTGCTTTATATTTTTTTAAGCAGTGGGGTCCCCAAAAAAAGATTCAAACCAATGCACTTAACTAGTTAGCATATATTTGTATGTTTACAAAGAGCAGCACAAGAGGCTTAAGCTCTGCTTAAGTGTGTAATTGTAATGAAATAGGGACAAATAAATACAATATGATGTGAAACAGGAAATATATAAACACATACTTCAGACTAAAACTTCTATAAGTATAAATGGCTAGGGAAGGGACTTAGTAAACAGACACTTTCTAGAAGGAAACCACAATTCTCTAACTTTAACATTTAGAATTTTCAGTGGGGAGGGGGCGGCAGGCTCAATGGCCTACGCCCCCAGGTTCCAGCACCAATGTTTACAACTAAGACAGTAAACAATTGGTAGGTCGCCGTTCATTTTTAAGACAGTGACCCGTGTATTTAAAGCATGAGGCTACAGTCAACAGTAATTTCGTAAGTTGGGAGATTGAAAAGAGGGTGGGGTGAGGTTGAATCTTATAAAGTTAAGGATTAATTTCATCCTCATCCACTAGCAGCTGAATTCAGTAAGTTGAGTAAGTCAAGCTGAATATATCTCCTCGCCCAAGTCAATCACTCAATCTAATCTAAGGTCTAAGTCTGTCACGTCAGTCACTCAGCATCTTTGACGACACTTGATAATAGACCACATAAAAACTATAATAAAAAGATAACATATGTTACCGTGAAGGAGTTTGTGCCCTCCTTTACTTCTTCCGTTTCTGGGATAGAGAAATGCATCTTGCATCTCAGATATGAAACTTTCACTACCGGACTGGACTTGTTTAGCGTTTATAGAAACACTCCCCTTCAGCCATTTTTGTGATCACGTGATTTGAAGTGTAGGTGTGTTTTTCGTCAATACTTTTATTCGATTAATTAGTAATAATAGTTGATTTAAATCAGACCACTCTGTCCCGAGGAACCCCTGTGGTGTAGCGGCTAGACGCCCAGCCTGTGGATCGGAAGGTCGTGGGTTCGCGATCCGAAGGAGCCAGACTTTTTTTTTTCAAAAATGACCCTGACTCCCAGGTCGACCCAGCCTTGAGTGGATATCATGTGCAGTCCTTGAAAGGAAAGGCAGACGGCGTGATGCTGACCACTTCACCTACCAGGTGCCAGTTTTTCTATAAAACTATAGGCCTAGCTCTATATTTCCAACACACCTAACGGCATAGAAAAGAAACGTTTACTTTAGTTTTACTTTGTCTCGGAGAACCGCTGTAGTGTAGTGTCTAGATGCTAAGGTTGTGGGTTCGAATCCGAAAGAATTTTTTTTTAATAAATAACCTTGGCATCTAGGTGGACCCAGCCTTACATAGATACAAGGTAAAGTCCTGGAAAGAAAAGGCAGCCGGTATGATGCTGATCTCATCACCGACTAAGGGTCAATGTGTCTCTAAAACATAGGTCCAGCACTATATGCACAGTGGGTCTAATGTACCTGTTTTTTCCCCCCTCTTGGTTAGTTGTAAAACCTAGGGAACTGTGTAAAGTCTAGGCGACTGCCTTTTTTGCACATGTTTTTATTCGACATGGTTCTGTCTCCCACATTCGAATAGTGAATCGTATGCCGTGTGTGTCGCACAGATCAAGGTGTTTCCCAGCTCCAGTGGCGATTCCTCAACGTATCTCACTTCCCAGCTCCAGTGGCGATTCCTCAAGGTATCTCACTTCCCAGCTCCAGTGGCGATTCCTCGAGGTATCTAACTTCCCAGCTCCAGTGGCGATTCCTCAACGTATCTCACTTTCCAGCTCCAGTGGCGATTCCTCAAGGTATCTCACTTCCCAGCTCCAGTGGCGATTCCTCAAGGTATCTATCTCACTTCCCAGCTCCAGTGGCGATTCCTCAAGGTATCTGACTTCCCAGCTCCAATGGCGATTCCTCAAGGTATCTCACTTCCCGGCTCCAGTGGCGATTCCTCAAGGTATCTCACTGACGGAAGAGAAAAAAAAAATGCGTTTGTAAACCAAAGCCATGACCTGACCCCCCCCCCCCTCAAGTATCTTTTTTTTCAAAGGACTCTTTCTTTTTTCCCCCTCACCAACCCCCACTCCATTAAGTAAAAGGCAAACGATCTAATCACTTATCATTGAAAACACTTATCAACCCAACAAAAGCCAGAAGCGGACACGATTAGATAAGGGTTCGTCAGGAAATATATAAAAATTGTGGGTGCTTTTGTAAATAGGTAACTCATCGTAACTGCACACTTCTTATTCTAGAAAAGAAATGTTCCGGTCGAGCGCGTGTGCGCGCACCCTTGCTCGCATATGCGTGTGCATGTGTGTATGTAAGTTTCAGACTTTCATGTCGATTTGGTATCGAAACACTATCTCTATTGAAACTGTTGCAGACCTGTTCTTTCACCGTTTTTCTGCTCCATGGTGCTACCTCAAGTTCCTTTTGACAGTTTGAAATGACACACATCGCAGTCCCCTATATTCCGTTTAACCTCAAGAAGCTTTATAATCTGCGCTCCCGTTAATGTTACATCAACCTAGAGTAACATGTAGTCCTGTGAGAGGTAGAATACACTCGGGACACACCCATAAGCGCTCCGTCCCCAACTTCAGCAACAAGCGCAGAGTTAAAATTCCGATGGTACTAGTAACTGTCTGAATGTATATCCGTCTCGCCTTTTCCCTAAGTATTGAGCGTCGACCAGATCCCCTTGTAACTCCTCGCCGAGCCATTCTCCTCAGACCGTAATGATCTATCTGTACTCGGCACTGTTCACTCGCTTCCAAAGGGCTCTCACAACATCCAGCTTGTCATACATCAGTTGACCACTAAGTGGTGCAGAACCGGCCAGTCTATATTCAAAGGATGCTAACTACCTGGGACCTGTGAAGTGATGCTTGCCACTCTGCACGGAGCATGTCTGTGTCCACCTTTCTCAACATGCTCTGTTAGTTACAATGACGGCATGTGAGGAGTAGGTGACGTTGAACCCTACTAGAAGTGCCCATCCAGTGACGGAAAGTGTCACTGTTTGAATGAGAATCTTCCCAGGTAAAACCTGGGAAACCCTGTTCAATGAGGGGTCTTCGTGGTCTCGAGGTATGGCGTTCGTCGAATGCTGGAGGTCCCGGGTCCAGGTCCCTGTGAAGGTTTCGATTTTTTTTTTCCACGATGACTTCTAGTAATTTCCCCTGGTTTCTGGGTTGTAAGATCAAACGCCCGTGTGTATTGTTGCGCACGTAAAAAAATCCCCTGGCAGTTGGAAATAGAAAAGAGTAGCCTAACTGCGCTGCCAATCCTAAAGGAATAAGTCCCTGACAATCGTTTTACTTTGTGTTACCATCTGTAACATTGGTTAGTCTCTTGAAGAAAATGCCTCGTTTACATCAAAGTTATTTCTCTTGGCTGATACGAGTAACAGAAAAGGTAAAGAAAAAAGATAGTCAGGAGATGTGAACCAGCGTAATTTCCTACGGTTATAAACCATAAGTGCTCTGCCACAAGTGTGATACGAGTAACAGGGGAACAGAATGAGTGCGGGGCGTGCACTTCTACCAGGACCGCACACCGAACGCTAAACATCATCTGACACAAAGTGACACCACTCGGATGAGAATCGCTCGGGCGCTAGTCCCATAAATCCCGTTCAACCGTTAGATTATTTCTCCAGCTTCTTTGAGCCTGTCATGGATGACAACCTCTAGAGATCGACAAACAGCGGTGTAAGAGTGGTTGGAATTCCACCGCAGCCAACCCTATTTTATAGATACGGCACCTGATTGATAATATAACTCTGTTACATCAGAAGCTCAAATACGAACTCATGTGTTAATACCACACTATGGTTGCGCCAAGTGCCGACTACTCTCAAATATGTATGCCAGAAACGCGCTGTGCTTCTCCCCCCCCCCCCTCCCCCACCCTCCCCTTTCTCCAGTGTCCTCTTGCTCAATTATTTAGCATAATAAGAGAGAAATTACCTGGCATGCAAACTTCAGAGCACGAACTCCTCTTTTACAAAGGAACAGAACTGACATTGCATGTTTATTCCAAAGAGTAAACACCCAGTTTAACGCATTAATGACCGGAAACGGTTATCTCTGAGAGTTAAGTTCATCGCAATATTAACCTCACCCCAAAATGGAACGCCGTTTTTATTTTATTTTTATTTTAAAACCCCACCCGGCTAACGTCTTCATAACCTAACGGCTGAACGGGGTTTCTGTGACTTGTTTCCGGGTGATTCTCATCCTAATAGTGGTACTTTGTGTCACCGGGTGTTTATCACTTGTTGTGCGGTCCTTATGGGGGTTAAACGTCACTCACGCATTTTTATTTTATATTTTATATATATCAAAATATGTCAAAATTTTTTTTTTTTTCTTGTTTGCGAACCGCTACGTTAACGCAAAGTTAGCCCGACCCGGTGACGTCAGCAGCACGGCCCGTCAGCTGGAGCCAGACGTGGTTCGACTGTGGTCACTACCGTCTCAACAGCATTGTGAGTCCTTGGGCAAAGCAGCACATCTTCTTCTTCATGTTGACCGGCTGTAAACACAGGCGGACAGTTCCGATTGTTGGTCCACTCCTGGGCTTAGGCTTTCATTTAGAAGTTGACTTTCGCGTACACGTCCGTTTGATATTTTGGCCAATTTGTATGTAGACTGTTGGTTACTTGCCTATCTAACGAACGAACGAACGAACAAACTTTATTTTTAAAGGGTTAAGAATTGGGCACGCAGGCCCGTCTAACATTCTGCCCTTCGAGGTCTCCCTCCATTTTTTACATCATTTCATTCACACATCAAGTAATATTAAAAGTTAGCAATAGCATCAAAATAATCAATACAGGCACTGGAATGTGCACATTTTTAACTACAGTAAAACGTATTTTCCGATTGTATGTATATGAACTAGTGGTACTTTTGATTTGCTGTGGTAGATAATTCCACAATTGAGCTGCGGAATATGACAAACTTGTTTTATAAAGGTCTATCCTAGGTTTAGGGATGTGTAATATGTTTAGGCGCTTACTATGCCTTTCATTATATTTAAACAACGGCCATAAGTAACATGGAGACTTTTGAGATAATACAGAAGGACTGCTACTTGGAAAGAAACACACCTAATTAGTCGCTTCCTATGTTATGCTTACTGAAAAAAAAAAAAAAGGGCGAAGGGGGGGGGGGGTGGATCTATTTTTCTATTATCTAAAATAGAGCCCTGGAACACACACGGGCAATATGAAATAAGTAAATTAATTTTTAAAAAAAAATTCCACTGTCAAAGTTGGATTCGAACAGACTACCACCAGGATATGAGACTAGCATGTTATGTCACCGTATTCCGAGGAAACCCAAAGGCTCTCGATCACTTTTTGTTCCCCAGACGTCCATGTTGCGACATGACTGGCTATACTTCCGTGTTCTATATGCCCCAGGTCATGGCCACCAGATCTACATTCGGTTGTCCTTCCTCATCTTGGTTTTCCTGTAACTTTCCGTGTCCACATGAGGTAAATAAACAGAGGGGGGAACCTTTTGAGGCCGTTAAATATTATGCATTAATCAAGTAACAGAAAGTATTGTGATTGGCACTCATAGAAAGAAGTAGAAAGATAGAAGAACACACTAGACAACATAAAAATCGAAAGCTATAGTTACCGCGCCGGGAATTGAACCTGAGGTAAAACCAGCAGAAGAAAGTTGCTATTTGTCTTTTGGGTATATGGCAGATTACGGGAACTTTTTTATTCGATCAATTTGATTACGAAAAA